ATTTGGTATCTTCATATAAAAAAATTAAAAACTAATATTTTTATTTAAAAATTGACAAAATTAATATTTTTAAATAAAAAAAATATAAAGTTGATATTGTTATTTCAACATTTTCTCTAGAGAATTTTATTACAAAAATATTTATTATATTACCAATTAAACCCTGTTTTGTGATTTAAAGTCAATACTTCACTCCAAACTATTGACGGAAAAATGGACCGATTTTCAATTAAGACTAAGCGCGCAGCAAGTTAGAAAACAATGGGTCTGAAATAAATTTGTTTTTGTTTAAAAGTAGGCTTGGATGATGGGCTTAGGAATAATAGTCGGGGATGAGCATTTTTAAATACAAATCAAGTATGATATATATTTAATACTTGATATAAAAAATTTTTAGTATAATTTGCTAAACTAAGTACTTACTCAAACACTAGAATACCCATACTTGCTACCTTGTGTTAAAACCCAATTTTCATACTCAAGAGGTTATTAATAGCTATGAATGAAATCCGCATGAGACTCGATTGCTTGGAGCACCGTAAACTTTTTTAGAAACGGGGACAAGATTTCTATCCCTCACCATCAAACCGGCAGCAATATAAATCTTAAGCAAGAATAATGCATACCGGACATAGAAACACACCCAATTTATTGTTTGGATAAATAGGAACAAATATTATAGACACAAGGATAAAAGGGGTCATACATTTTACAAGGCACCATCAGATTCCTTTCTGATTGACATCAAAGGAAAATTTCAACCATGGACGAAATGCCTGAACTTAATTCCTAACTAACAAAAAGTAGTAGAAAGAATGTACCTCCAAGGGATTACTTGAAAGGAAAAACTATTAGTCAAAGCAAAGCATTGTCAACAAGCACCATTTCTCTAGCTCAAGCAACTTACTCTTCAGCAGTTGAGCTTTTGTATCCCCCAAACCATAGAAGATAGATCATTCAAGACAAAGATGTAAGTTATTGGAACAACTGAAGAAAATTGTTTGCATATGCCATTGGCTTGACATCAGGATGAGGCAGTCATTCACAAACACAAAGGTATTTTCAGAGAGTGTTTTGACATGTAATTTCAATGTTTAAAAAGGGATATCACAATGCAAAGGTACCCACCACCGCTGAGAATGTAACAATGATTGGCTTCAAAATGAATGAAAGCACCCTTGTTGCCCATCAGCAGAAACAGATTGCAGAACCATGTTAACAAGTTATACATAGAATCATAACAGCAAAGGTAGTAACTAGAGAAGGAATGAACAACCAACAAGAAGTTTCAAGGTTGGTGTGGTAAGCCAATAGTTTTCGTTAATAACCAAAAAGAAAAAGGGTGAACAGTTCTGTAGCAGCTATACTAGTCCTACAATAAACACATGAATCTACATTTCCAGATGAAATACTGACTTTTACCCTTTGCTCAGCTACTTTGTAAAACTATGCAATTTGATTTTATAGGCAATGGATGATGAAGTAACAAAAATTATACTTTAGTTCCACTCTACCAATACAGAGTTGCATAAAAACAAAATCACACAATGCCCTTGGGTAAATTTGCTAGAAAATAATGATAACATTTATTGTAAATCAACAATTCATTACCTGATCACAATAATTTGGTGCAGAAAATACAGTAATAAGTTTACCATCATGCGCGATCTCAAAACCTTCATCTTTTACTCTTTTTTTTTAAAAAAAAAAAAATTGATGATCAAGACTTTCACTTTCTACCCAGTACCCATAAATAAATATGCAAATAATGAGAAACTCAATTTGGGAAATAGAATTCATTCATAGGAAGAAACCCCATCACATCAACTCTAACATGTTGTGTTCCTTTTTCGCACTGGACTACTCCACTTCTAACAAGGAACTGCTCTCGGCCAACTCCTCAATTGGGTAGCCTCTGTATCGAAGGATCCCCTGATCCTCGTCAATATAGGAAATTGATGAGCGTACAGGAGCAGTGTTCAAATAGCCAGGGTCATACATTTTAAGCCCCTTGACATCCTTCCCGGTCGTTATCTGTAAAAACAAAAATTCAACCCAGAACTGGAATATATAAATTCAGATCAGAGAAATCATAAGGGTAAAAATACAGACCTTCTTCAAATCAACCGCTTTAACGGTGCCTTCTGCAGAGACGGGGACCGGATACTTCTTCCCAGTGCGTTCGTCAATGATGATCAAGGAACCGGCAAGGGAGGCGGCGGCCAGAGCAGAGACGCACCATGGCTCAATGATCGACGGAGAAGAGAGGTAGGAGGGTGGCAATGCTGCTAGATGAGCAGCGAATATGGCCAAACGGCCGTTCACTTTAATGCCGACCTCACCGTTTGACATTCTTACGATGGACTTGCGTGAAAATGAAAACATGTATGTGAAAGCTATGGTTTTGCTTCTAAAATTTTCCTTTCTGTTTTTCATACTAAATTGGGTTTTTATAGTCAGTAATATTGCTCAAATTACCAAAATACCTTTAATAACACCTTTGTCAATGCTAGTTCATTAATAATATTATGGTAATTTCACTATAAAAATAATACTTATTCACCTTACCTCTTAAGATAAAAGAAAAAAAATTTTAAAACTACGCGTTTTAATAAATTCTCATCGAAAAAAACTAAAATATCTAATTTTTAAAACATAAATTAGAGTATTTTTTGTCATTTCTTGTAATGCTTTATTAAAACGACGTAGTTTTATAATGCTTTTCTTTTTAATTTTTAAGAAGTAAGATGGATAAACACTAATCATTTTTACTATTTAAACCTTTCTTTTTCTTTTCAGGATATAAGAGATAAGTGTGGTTAGGGTAGTAATTATAAATCCTTTCTTAACCATCAATGAATCCATAAAAATGCTAGATGGGTTAAAAGAGGATAAGATTAAACTTTCTGAATTTTCTCACTTCTGCTACATCTTCCTAAACCCATCGCATTCGTAAGGAAACATAGGCTGTTTTCAAGTGGTATATTCATTAAAATTACACCTCTTGTTATGGCTATGTGTGGTTTCCACTGTATTTCTCTTTTAATTTGGGTATATTTTATTATTTTATCATATTCATAAATTATTTCATCTTTAATGATAGATGCCAGATGCTAGAAGTCCTCCTAACACCTCTTCTACGCATCATCACTCTTCAAAAGCAAGTCAACCAACATCTCCAAAAAATGATGAGCTAGTTTGCAATTTTTCATCTGCATGCTTTTTGTTAGCTTCTTATATTTTGTTGGTAGGCTTGATCCTGCACTTCAACTTGCAAATACAATAGGTAAGCAAAATATGGAGTCTTGGAATGCTAGATGTACACAACTGTTTAAACTTGTGAAGATTTGCACTTTTGGAATCAATATTAAAGTATGTTGTGTTCTAGTAAGTTCATTATTCTTCTGAATATGTGGCTTAAGTTTAGGTTTTAAATATAACTTAATTTTGTTATCTACAACAATCTAGTTGTTGAAATAAATGTGTGTCTATTTATCCTTTTAACTTTGCTTCTTTTGAATAGATGAATATGAATAGCATGATGATTGTAACTTTATTAAAATTATGCATACCATGATTTTATTAAAATTGTCAAATATATGTTTTAATTGATTATTGGTTAATAATGTAGGCATCAGTCTTTTTTTACTTTTTTTTATCAGCATGTAGGCATCACTCTTTCCTCTATCCTTTTACCATTTTTTCTTCCCAATCCACTTTGTTTCCTAGTAGGCTAACACTGTGAACATCTTTTTCTTCCAATTTGCAAATAAACAGTAAGATGTTGGCTCATTTTTTTTTTTCTTTCTTGATTCCTCTTAATAAAATTTGCTATCTTGCACTAAGTTACTTATGGATATATACACGCAATCCAAGTACATTTTGGGATATGAATTAAAGAATGCTATATCATTGCATAATATCCCAAGAGCCATGTTCTAGTTGATTAAATGCTCACATTGATTTAAGTTTGGTTATATATATATATATATATATATATATATTGATAAGTGTAATAAACGAAGAGGAAAACAAAGTGAGATTCTTCTTTTAAAGGCTAAAACTACTGTATCTAACTCTTTGGCGAAAATGTTGCAATTCTTGTTTATGACTTCTTCTTCTCCAGTTCGTTTGAAGGATTTACCTTGTTTTTTTTTATGTTTTTGATAGACATGTGTAAAATGTGTTAGAATTGTTGCAATTCTTGGTGCAAGTGCTGGTCAATTAGATTTATGAACTTATTGAATTACATTATTTTTTTTGTCAAATTTGTTTCTATTGGATGGATTGTGCTTGTTATTAGTTAATAAAGTAGGTTTTGGGCATTCCAACAACAATTCAAGTGGATTTGTGAATTTTATCAAATTTGC